TATTTAATTTTAATGAAATGCATATAGAATGAAAGCAGACCAATGTAAATTTTGCTTCAGAAATAAAGTGAAGTCTTGAATTGTTATCTAATTTATGATATTGTTGGGTTCTGGTTTATAAAATAGGTCCGAAACCTAGAGCTACAGAACAAAGTCCTTGAGACCAAATGGAACCTTTTGCAAGAACAGGTCATTCCAGCCCAGAAAAGCCTTGAACCGTACTACGAAAACTTCATCACCAACATGAAAAAACAATTGCAGTGTCTATTAAATACCCAAGAGCATCTAAGAAATGAAAATGATGGCATTGAACATCTGGTGGAGGACTTCAAGTGCAAGTAATGTGAGGGTGATCAGGAGGAGGGGGGGAAAGACAGAATCTGAGTCTCACAGATTCTTTAACATTCTCAGCTGGGATACTCATTGGCACTAACATGGGACTAGATAACTCATTTTATTCAATACTTTCAAAGCATGTAGCAATTGTCTTAATTAAAAAGAGAAGACCAGAAATGGAAATTGAAATAAGTTTTTTTTTCAATTTTTACTTTCTTTCTTTAAGAGCTGGAAAGATATAATATTTAAAAGATTTTAAAAGAGAGTTAAAGCAAGATGGAATTAATGTAATGTAATCTACAGGAGATAATTTCCTACAATGTATTCCTAAAAATGTTTAAAATTTTGGATAAGGTAAAAATTATGTTTTCCATAGTGCTCAGTTCTCTTGTCTTCTATAATACCTCTTTATTGTTTGATTATAAAAACTTTTAAACAGGCTTCTTAGATTTATTTTTGTTCTCCAGTTCAAACAGAATTGCCTTTTTAAAACTTTCCAGCACAATTTAGATACTGATTAAAACATAGAAAATAATTGTTGAATTATGATCAGTATTTAGAAGTTTCATGAATTCCTTCCAATTGTACTGCAGTACAAAGAAAACTTCCCTGAAATGACTTTTACTAAATAAATACATCTTTGTTGCTCTTTCTGCTAAAGAATTCCTAAAGTCACTTGAATATTGAATGCTTTTCCACGTCTCATGAAAATTTGTATAATTTTTTTTGAAACATGGAAGCCAATCAAATAAACACAAGAGAGATAAATTACCCAGTTAAGAGCAATGCCCCATAGGATGGAATAAAATACTTTGGATTCTTTTACAAAAATAATAGAATGACAATTTCTTTAAAATTTATATCCCACCTTTATTATTTCTATAAATAATTCAAGGCGATAAACATATCTAATACTTCTCTCTCCTCCTATTTTCCTTACAACAACAATCCTATGAGGTGGGTATGATTGAGAGAAACTGACTGGTCCAAAGTCACCCAGCCAGCTTTCATGCCTAAGGTATTATGAACTCACTGTCTCCTGGTTTCTAGACTGGTGCCCTGGCTCTGTATTAAATATAGTATATGTCTATATTATTAACATTATACAATATATATTATGCATTTTAATCATTACATAAAAAAAGAAAGTGGTCAGTAAAAGAACAAGGAAACTAATGAGCAAGGGCATTCAAAATAGGTAAATAGCCTAAGCAATTTACTTCATATTATTTTATGGGAAAGGTAGTCTTTATCCTTTTCTGACTTGTTATGACTCACAGAGATTGCTTTGAATTGTACACAGCTCTTATTCCATATTTCCACAGCTATGAACAGGAATTCAAAAGACGGACAGACGCAGAAAATGAATTTGTGCTGCTCAAGAAGGTAAGACTTCTGGATTTAATGCCTTAAACTAACTAAATTTCTACTGCAAAAGAAGGCCTTCCTTCCTTCCTTCCTTCCTTCCTTCCTTCCTTCCTTCCTTCCTTCCTTCCTTCCTTCCTTCCTTCCTTCCTTCCTTCCATACCCATTCTCTATTGCTGTAAGGGATCACTTGCCATATTCCCCAATGAGTGATTCTCAAGGTGCCATTTTACCTATGATAGATGGACCTCTCTCTTTTTTTCAGCAGGAGATGAAGGGCATCCTCACATTTTCACCATAGAGAAAACACACGAAGTGAACTGTTTTTCTCTTAAACTCTATTGAAAGTAAATCTACTAGCTGTGTGCCTGTATCCAGATCACTGGGAAAAGTTCAGATCCCCACATTTGGAAAAGTATAATAGAGCTGGAACAAATACAGAGGAGGGAAATCAAACACAAACTAAAGAGGGCTTCACTCATACCCGCTAAAGGCCTGGGTGAAGACACAGTAAAATGAGGGGCTGTTCAAATTTCAGGGGAACCTCAGGCACTGCTATAGAGAAGGTGGTCTTCCAGGTCCTGATAGATGATATTGCTTAATCAAAAGAAAAGAGCATGCCAACTCTACCAGATATGATTGGCTAAGCAGCTATTAAGGAAGACAGGCAGTCCCTCAAGTAACCAGGCCTGATGCCATGTTGGGCTTTATAAGTAATGATCAACAACTTGGATCACATCAGGAAGCGAATGGGCAACTAGTGTAACTCACAAGGCAGAGGTGTTACATGAGCGTATCAAAGCAAGCTCACCATTGCCCTTGATGCTGCATTCTGGACCAACTGCAGCTTCCGGATGGTCTTCATGGGTGGCACCACATACAGTGGGAACAGAGCTCTGAGGCATCCAACACTTGAATGAAAGTCTGAAAGGCCCTCTGATCCAGGAAAGAATGCAACTGGCACACTAGTTGAAGCTATACAAAGGCCTTCCTGGACATAGTTGCTAGTCCAAGAAGATACCCCAAATTGTGTGCCATCCTTGAATGGAAAAGGTAGTGTGGGATATTTGTCCTACTTTCCTTTTCTATTTCATCAGACTTTCTTTCTGCCTGTTTTCGTAATTTCTGCCCTATTTTGAGCACCAGCTTTAAAACTGGTTTACCTTTCAAACCCTTGAGTCAGCAGCATCTCCACTGTTGTGAATTGAGGGCATTGAGTTATGTCAAGACATGCTGGGTCCTTTGGGATATACAGCTGTGTCTTTAAGTGGAGGTGTCAGGCTCTTCTTTTCTCCCTAACCCCAAGGATCTACTATCCTGCTTTTCCTAATGATAGGGTTGCCTGACCATATAGAAAATTTCAAAACTGAAAAATGTTTAATTAACTGTTCTATCATCTTCAGGATGTAGACTCCATTTCTCTGAGCAAGTCAGAACTGGAGGGGAAAGTGCATTTGCTGAGTGGAGAATTGGAATTTCGCAGAGGTATCTATGCGGAGGTAAGAACAACCCTGGAATTATCTTAGATAGAATTGACTCATAGGGGAAAGAATATGAACGTGCTCCAGTCCAAACAAGCTTTTTTGCTAATTTGGATTTCCTATGCCACACAAGGACCAGGGAGGACAGGAATCCTTCTTTTGGTGATCTGTAATTTTCTAAAAAAAAAAATAGCTGGGGGAAAATTAGATTCACAAGCATTTATTTCATGTTCCAGTATTCATTATAAAAAAGCAGTGCCCCTTGATGCACAGAAAATGGCAAGATACAAAGAAAGGAGAAATGAAATCTCTTAGAAGTGGCTCCAGCTCTGTCAAAATAATTTGTGAAGGGCCCCTTTACTTGGCTTTACTATTAGTTGATCAATCATCACGGCTGCAATTTATACTTACTTATTTTGTGGATGTTTTTCTTCTTTTTAATGTCTTCTAAACTGTTTAAATTGTAAGCCACTCAGAATCACTTGGCTATAGAAATTGAATAAATAAATTAGCTTTCCAATGAGCTCAACCAATCAATGCTCCTAGAGATGGGTTGAAGTATCACAGAATATTCTTCCCTCAAGTGGTTTGAGTTTCTATAGGAGCTAATGTCCCTCTCGGTATTCTTAATTTTTTTTTGATGCAATGATAACCACCATTTTTATTGTCGGCATGCCTCAAAACAACCGTAGCCTTGAGCAATATGAAACTGTAGCCTTGAGCAATATGACAGGCTGACACAAAACTGTCACTCCAAGGTGCAAGCCAACCATTTTACCATTAAGTAAAACAATCATTGCTTTGGCCATCAAGGAAAGGGGGCATGACAGAGATTTTTCCCGTAGCTATTTTTTTCTTATAACAATGTCATTAAAACATACAGAAAACATGCATTTTTGCATTTTTTTTTCAATTGCCCTAGTTATAACTAATTTGTTTATATTACAAATTACTGTTATTTTATGTTAAAATATTTTTTAAAAAAGGTTTATATTTAATATAGTCGTGGGATTCAACTTGAGAGATGGCATGAAAGAATTTAATTTTCTTAGCATTTACACTTATATACCACTTCACAGTGCTTCAGAGCCCTCTCTGAGTAGTTTATAAATGTCAGCATATTGGCCCCAACAATCTGGCTCCTCGTTTTACCAAACGGAGAAAGATGGAAGGCTAAGTCAATTTTGAGTCAGTCAGGACTGAACTAGTGGCTGTGGGCAGAGTTTGCCTGCAATACTGCATTCTAACCACTATGTCACCAGGGCTCTTGTAATGTTTTGACAGTGGAAGCAATGGAAGGGCCAAGGGGTACCATCATTGGGCACTGCTTAAGGCAGGGGTGTCAAACTGCCAGCCCATGGGCCGGACGTGTCATGTGGAAGCCGCACCCACCTCATTGCTGGTAATGGCAAAACTGGCCCGACACGTTGTGCAACATCACGTGATGTCACAAGTTTGACATCCCTGGCTTAGGGCATCAGTTGGGCATTAGGGCATTAATCTGGCCTGGTAAAAGCCCAGTGGGAAGGATTACCACTTGATTTCAAAAGACAGGAAGAACATACATTATATAGAGCAGCAGATGTTTCATCAGGAAAATAATCACTTGTAGTTGCAACATTCTTATTAAAAGATGAAGAATACTGTATGCGTCACTAAATCAGCAAACAGGATATTTTCACCTATTTCATTTAATGTAATAGCTTTGCAACAGCTCTGGCAGTCAAGTCATATGTCATGTTTTTATGTTAATGTAACCCTGGTGGTGTGAGAGCCTTTGCTACCTGATTCAGCTATAGATTTTCTGTGATCTTGCAGGAATTAGCACAGCTCAGTAACAATGTTTATGACACTAACATCCTCTTGCAAATGGACAACAGCCGAGACTTGAACATTGACAGCATCATCAAAAGTGTGGAAGCATGGTATAAAAATGTTGCCCAAGGGAGCAAAGAAGAAGTGAATGCTTTTTATGAAAACCGAGTAAGTTATGGGGACATGGGGTCTTTGCATCTGTTTGGAAAATTATATGGGTCTTATGGAATTCATTCCATTTTTCATGTCCGTTCCCTGACATTCTCCCAAACATCTACTTGGCAAGTTCCAAAGGAACAATATTAATTTATGAAAGATTAATCCAGTCTCCTTTTTCTCTGTCCCACCATTTTTGTCCACCTAAATTTTCTCTTGACCCTGTTCTTTTTAGCATGTCCCTTAGAGGGTGAAATTGGGGATGCCGAGAACCACTACTGGCTTTTGCATTGTCCTCACAATCCAATAGGAATTTATCAAAATGTAAACGTGATGTCAATATTATTAAAATGTGTTTGTTTGTTTTTTAATTGTCTTGGATATCAGTTCCAGGAGCTTCAGCAACAGAGAGGGAAATATTCTCAAACTCTGAAGATCAACCAGCAAGAGATTGCAGATCTGACTCGTCTGGTTCATAAACTGCAGTCCGAACATGATATTATTAAAAAACAGGTAGGGGCAACCCGGGTGTGTTATTCCTCATCTAGAAGCTGTTTGTTTCAATATACTTATTAAAATTATTTCTGGAAACCTCATTATGGAGTCCAAACTTGTCAACACTTTTCGTGAACATTTCCACAAGAGTTGAAATATGCTGTTTGTGTTCAGCACTAAGGAAAACAATGGCAATTTGTTGAAATTGCTGTTTTTATTTTTATCTCAACTGCCCTCCATAACAGCATTATCACATCTGCTGGTTTGCATACTGACACTACAGCTTCACACATGACAAGAATATTTATATCCACTTTTTATGTCAAAGAACAGGCCTTTTTTGAGTAGAATAGTTTAAACAAGAATAAAAGCAAGCTTGGGCATCTATGGGAAGATGAGTGATATCACACATACATTTGCACCATAATATCAAGAGGCAACTGACCTGAATTATGTAATTTGCATTATTTGTGTGTGATGGCATTGTGACATGTGTGATGTCATCATGGATTTCATCAAACTTCTGTAAACATAAAATTCCTCCCCCCCCCCAGACATAAAGGTAGTGGTGATTTTAACATATTCTCTTTTCCACAGTTGTTCTTGCTTGATTCCATTGTGAGCCTATAATCCTCCTCCAGTCAATTAATATCATGTTTAGTAGAGGATATTTCTCTATGTGAATCAGTAATACTATTTAAGGCCCCTTCTCTTTGAGGAATCTTTAACTGAGGTCAAATTTAAAGATAAGGAACCAGAAGATGGCAAGTCAGGATCCTTGAAGTTGTCCATCAGTGGTCAATACCTGAGCAACAGGCTTAGCAAACCAGGGAATTTGCCTAGTTAGTTTTCTTCTCCAAATTGAATTGTGGTCTATTTTTATCGACGCTGAAGCTATCAGATATAAGTAAGATTTTTAAGCAAATCTATGTTATTTTTTGTCTACTTTATTTGGGATTCGTTGCTCATTTTCCTGGCAAAGGATGATTTGCCAGTCTATTTCCATGATCCAAACATATATTAAGACCTGAAAAGTGCCTAGATAAGACCTCACAGGAAGGAGTTATTTTAGGAAGAGGAGGACTTGTGAGTCAGGAAAATGAAAGTCAAGAAGCAGAGATGAAAATGAATAGAAAAGAAGGAAATGAAGCCCTGGTGTTTGTATGACTCTTGCTTCAGTATTTTTAATATTTATTGTTCTTACTGTAGGATACTGAATTCCTCTTGCCTCTTTGAACAATCTGGATTTTGTGGCCAAGTTCTTTGTGTTTTTCATTTTTAACATCCTATTCCAACTTTTCCTTCTGTGGTAGTGGATTCATTTTCTCTCTCTTCCTATCAGGTCCTCTTGGACTATACTTTTCCTTCTCTTTCTTTTTTTTATCAAAGCAATCATGGTTGAATCGCATTTTTTAAAAAAAATGTTGATGGTGCTTTCATTTCCCCATTCAGACATTTTCAAGCTAATGTTAATTTCCACTTAGCTCAACTATTATTTCATTTTGACTGTCTGCCTTCTCCCAATTCTAAATTTAAAAAAAAAAACAACACTGAAACTCAAAATGCTACTCAGTTCTTAGCCTTGGCATTTTTTTCATTATTGGCCTTCCCTTCAAGTCTGCCATCTGACATGTTGAAAATGTATTGCTTTTTCTTTATTCACATTATTACACATCAGCATGCACCCCAGTGCCATTTCCCTGTTCATTTATTCAGTATTGCTTGTTCTGAACAGGTTAATAGTTTCCAAACATCCGTTTGTGAGATTGAGCAGCATGGAGACTGCGCTCTGAAAGATGCCCGGGATAAGCATATTGATCTGCAAATTGCTGTACAGAAGGCCAAGGATGATTTAGCAAGGCTGCTAAGGGATTACCAAGAGCTTCTGAACACCAAGCTTGCTCTTGACATTGAAATTGCTACTTATAAGACATTGCTGGAGGGAGAAGAGACCAGGTGAGTATGAATTACATTCAATATATCTCAAATCGAATGTGAGCAACTAAAAACTCCCAATTCTTTTCTCCTCCTTTTAATTCAGGCAACTTGGTCAGCTAGTATTTCCCTGAAGCAGAAATTTGTTCCTAAATAAACTTTTGCCACAGGGCAAATTTTGCCTGGAAGTCTCTCTGAGATATTTTTCTTGGTATTCCTGAGATTTTCTTCATGTTGTCTAGCTTTTCCAAGGTGGAAATCTCTAAGCTGCAATTAGATTTGGCTTTCGGATCAGATCTTGGGCATGTCTATAGTTAGGCCTGAAGAGCCATACATTTGTATTCTTTCCTCCTATTGCCAGGAAAAGGTGCTGAGCAGGGGGTTGGACTAGATGACCTCCAAGGTCCCTTCCAACATCATCATCATCATCATCATCATTATTATTATTATTATTATTATTATTATTATTATTAAGGTAGTTTTCCTTTCTCTGTCATTGGTGGTCACAAACCAATTGGTGGATGTGCCAGGATTTAATAACATATACAGATAGTCCTCAACGTACGATGACAACTGAGCCCAAACTTCTTGTTGCCAAGTGAGATGGTTGTTAAGCTAATTTTACTTCATGTTATGACCTTTCTTGCCACAGTTGTTAAGTAAGTCACTGCAGCTGTTAAATTATTAATAGGGTTGTTAAACGAATCTCTCTTCCCCATTAACTTTGCTTGTCAGGAGATCACAAAAAGTGATCACATGACCCCAGGACATTGCAACTATCATAGATATGAACCAGTTGCCAAATTTTGATCATGTGACCGTGGGGATGCTGCAATAGTTGTTAAGTGTGAAAAACGGTCCTAAGTCACTTTTTTTTTCAGAGCTATTGTTACTTCAAAGGGTCACTAAACAAATAGTTGTAAGTCAAGGACTACTTACCAAGGACCTTGTGTTTATGATTTGCAGCATAAACGTATTCCAACAGCTTTATAAACCCAGCTCACCTCAAAGAAAAATTGGCCAATTACCTATTAATTACAAAAAGCCACAGGCAGGACAAGGATCTGGGGTGTCTGTCTGAAATAAGTCATAAGGCAATCTGGTTGCAATAGAATCTTCTTTTTCTCCCCATAGGATACATTTGGGAAATCCTGTCTGTATAGGTAAGTAAAAAAAACATGAAAATATGGTGTGTTATGTCATCATGTATGTTTGATCTTCTTTTTAGGGACTGTGCTTATGCTCTAAGCAGGGGTTCTCAACCTTGGCAACTTTAAGCCTTGTGGACTTCAACTCCCAGAATTCCTCAGCCAGCTTTGCTGGCTGAAGAATTTTGGGAGTTGAAGTCCGCAAGTCTTAAAGTTGCCAAGGTTGAGAACCCCTGCGTCTAGTGCCAGTTTGAGCCAGCTGATGTAATGGTTAAGGCAAAAGACTAGAAATGGGGAGATTTTGAGTTCTAGAACCAGCTTAGGCAGAAAGCCAGCAGGGTGACCTTCGGCCCATCCCTCTCTCTCAGCCCTAGCAAGAAGGCAGTGGCAACCCACTTCTGAAATCTTGCCAAGAAAACTGCAGGGACTTGTCCGGGCAATTGCCACGAGTTAAAAACTGACCCAAAAGCACAAAACAAAAGCAACACTTAATGTTGGGAATATCAACATTAGGGTCTGAATTGGTCCATGTTGTTCAGCTGATGTGTATACAATTTTCCTCCACGTTGCAACAGTTGTGTTATTATCTAAATCAGTGCATCCACTACACATCTTTTTAGTTATTTATTACTACTTCCTATCCAGCTATTAGTTAAGGTGGCTCATAACAGTAAAAATAGAAAAAATAAATCCAAATAACCTTTGCACAATAAAAATCCTGATTAAAAAAAATAGCAAAAACCTAAAACAAACTCAACAGCTAAAGACCCGACAGGAGAGATGCATTTTTACCAATTTCCAAGAAATTGGTTTTCTAGCTAATATGGTCAAATGGTGGTCTTCTTATTTCTTATAATCAGTTTATTCCCATTTTTGTAAGGATTTTCTCCAGTGGGCCAACTTTTTCTACAGGAAAGCTCTATTTTTTTTTTTTTAAGTTTACTTTGGAAGAAGCGGTAGAACTGACTCATATATCACCTTCATTACACATTCTTGAAAGTGTTAAAGCAATAGTATTGCGAAGATAAGATGGGAAATAGGTTTCCATAGGTCTCTGGATCCATCCTCTGGATCACACAAGTTGACTTTTCTACTTTTTCTTGCAGGTGTGATCAAACCTGGGATAGAAAGTGCAGTTGGATCCTCATTTTCAAGTGGATATGGTCCTCTGGGTGGAGGATATGGTGGAGGATATGATATGGGATTTGGTAAAGGATATGGAGTGGGTGGCCAGGGGAGAAGCAATAGGAACTTCAGCTCCAGAAGTGCTGGATTTGATCAAAATACTGGAAGGAGCAATATAGCTACTGGGAATAGATCAGCAGATGCAGAGTACTACCAAGGAAAAGGATGTAGCTATAGGAATGAGTCCTGCTCTGGTCATCCCTCTGCAGTCATGCGCCAGTTCTCAACAGAAGAGGCTGGTAGAGGTGCTGGCCATGGCCCAGGTGCAGGATTTAGCTCCAGAACTGCCTATGGATCAGTTTGCGGTGGAGGAAGGGGATATGGGTCTACAACTGTGGTAGGGAATTGCCCAGATGGAAACTACCCTCGTGGAGGTTATGAACCCTCAGGGGTGGCTGCATTTGGGGATGGAGGGTGGTACTCTCGGGCAGGAGTCCCAATGGGGGGTGCAGCTGAAGGAAACCCTGCCTCTGTAGGAATAGGTGGGGCAGCAGGAGGTCCTGCAGGAGTGTGTTACTCTGGACCACTAGGAACTTCTGCAGGGATGTGTTATGCTGCACCAGCCGTAACACCTGCAGGGGTGTGTTATGCTGCACCAGCAGGACCATCTTCAGGGGTGTGCTATGCTGTACCAGTAGGAACTTCTGGAGGACTGTGTTACCCTACAGCTGTAAGAGTTTTTTAAAGAGATTGGGACAGTCTTATTTTTAACAATCAGTAATCAATCTACTATAAAGCTGACAGCACAATAAAAATTCAAAAACGTCTCCTAAACCCTTTGGGACAATGCCCATGACGAGTTATCCATTCTGTATTTGTATCTTAGTGAATCTATTATTTTAAGCAAGACATTTGCCACAGAATCATATACGTTCCTTCTATCAAGTCAGCCATTGTTCCATGTAGTTTTGGCACTGGCTGTTTTCTTAAACCTACTCTTACTAACATTTTATACTAATGTTTTATTCACATATTTGTATTAACTGGAAAACAAATGCATTGGTTTAGAAGAGGGGTTGCCTTATTTTTTGAAAAAGTTATTTAAACTAATTTGACTTTTTACTCCAAATTTATTTTATTGTTATTGCTATATAGCTAATGCAAGCATACATTTGACATTCCAAAATATTTATTCCTTTCTGATGCTTAGATTACTTTGCTTTCCCGCTTAGACTTCTTGTAGGATTGTGCGAGTCTGTTTAACAAATGGAGTATGCTAGCATAAGTAGAAAGCAAAATGTTACAAGGAGAACTTAATTTCAGAAATCAGAATTAACCCAAACAGCAACTGTTATGTCCCGAGCCTTTGCAAACGGCTCGGGCGTTTGCAGGCAGTCCCGGGCAGGTGCAAAGCTGCCCGGGACCAGACAGGCTGTCGCCAGCGCCGTGCGCATGCGCGGGTGCTGGCGCGGGAAAAGTAACCCATTTACCCGGGAGTTGCCTATATAAGAGGCTGCGAGGCGTTTGGGCGAGGCTGAAGCCATCTTCCTGTAAGCTGAACGCTGAATAAAAGAAACTGAGAACTCCAGCTGCTTCTCGTGTCTGTTTTCCCGCCACGGACTCAACACTGGCGACGAAGGTGGGATGCCTTGCACTACCTGGAAAGGAAGAAGTGTAAGCTTACCCAAGGAGTCCTGAGCGGCGGAAGAGGAACGGCGTCGACTCGGCAGCTGCCCGCCATTCCGGTGCGCATTCGGGGGTAGGCTGGCTGATAGACCCGTCTCCTGAAGATCCGAAGATGGCGAAAATCGGAAGGCTTTCAGAATTCGACGTCTCACATCCAGAGCGGTGGGAGTCCTACGTATCCAGAATGGAGAACTACTTCAAGGCAAACCAAGTGACGGAAGATAGCTTGAAGGCTGCCACCCTGCTTTGCGTTTGCGGCCAAGACGCCTTCGAAATCGCAGAAAACCTTGCAGCACCTGTTCCAGTAGAGTCTGTAAGCTACGCAGACCTGAAGAAGCTGCTGAAGGAGCACTTCCACCCCAAGGTGTCCGTTATCTCATGGCGCCACACCTTCGAACAGAGGGATCAACGGTCCGGTGAGTCAGCCAAGGAATACATCGCAGCGTTACGGAAGGCCGCCAAGCCCTGCGAGTTCAAGGACCTCGAGGAACGACTGAGGGACCGATTCGTGTGCGGGTTAAGGCATCGAGAGCTACAACAGAGACTTTTCGCTAAGGAAGAATTATCCTTCCAAGACGCCTTAAGGGAAGTCACCGCAGAAGAAGCAGCAGGCGGCGCCGTCAAGAACATGCAGCCGATCAGAAGCAGTACAGAGGGTGCGTCCGTGCACCAGGAAGACGTCCGACGAAACTCCGAGGAGGATCCGGACGAAGAAGTCGACCGTCTACACCCCGCGAAGGAAGAGAACCAGAAGGGAAGCTCTTCGGCTCCGCTCAAGTGCCTCGGTTGTGGAGGTCGCCACAGGAGAACCGACTGCAAGTTCCGCTCCGCTACCTGCCGGGCATGCGGCAAACAAGGGCACATTGCAGCTGTGTGTCTGGGCCGACGAAAGGCACAACCCCAAGAAGAACGCCTGAAGGGTACCAGATTCCCCAGCCAGAATAGGGTAGGTTTTTGCGCTTCGCGAAGAAGCATCTGTAGAACAGGCACACACAAGCCCATGAAGAAAAAGCTGTCACTCAACGTGAAGCTACAAGGGGTTCCATTATCTATGGAACTAGACACAGGGTCTGCCCTTTCCATCATTTCATTGCATACATTTAGGAAGATTTGTTCCAGTAGTGGGACTAAGGCCAAGTTAAGGCCTTCTGATATTGTATTAACAGATTTTCAGAACTCAAGAGTGTGTGTTAAGGGGGAGGCCACCCTTAACGTGCAATACAAGAGTTTTGAAGGTCCACTAGACTTATTAGTAGTAGGGGGTGAACGAACGAGTCTCATAGGACTCGATTGGTTTGAGGCCCTGGGGATACACGTCACAGGACTCAACAGCTTACAAACACTCGACCTACAGGAAGTCTGCAAAGAATTTGCAGATGTTTTCAGCCCCCAGCTGGGCACATTCAAAGGACCACCTGTGTCCTTAAAGCTAGACCCCACTGTCACTCCCATTAGGATTAAAGCAAGAAGGGTCCCTTTTGCTTTAAAAAGTAAGATTGATACTGAATTAGACAAACTAATCCAACAGGGAATCCTAGAACCTGTTGATTCCAGCCCGTGGGAGACCCCCATTGTCACGCCTCTAAAGGCAAATGGGGACATTCGCATTTGTGCTGATTACAAATGCACACTCAATAAGGCATTGCAGCAACATGCCTATCCTGTTCCTGTGGTCAGTCACATCCTGGCCTCTCTCAAGGGGGGGCGTGTTTTTGCAAAGCTTGACCTAGCTCAAGCATATCAACAGCTGCCTGTTGATGATGATGCTGCCATAGCTCAGACCATTGTGACCCACAGGGGAGCCTTTAAGGTAAAAAGGCTACAGTTTGGAGTGAATGTCGCTCCTGGGATTTTCCAAAGCGTAATGGAAAACACACTACGAGGTATACCAGGGGTCTGCCCCTACTTTGACGATGTCTTGATTGCAGGAGACTCCACACACATTCTAGCTGAAAGGCTTAGGGCTGTCCTGTTAAGATTCAGGAAATCAGGCCTCAAGCTCAGAAAAGACAAATGCAAGATTGGGGTGCCTTCTACTGAATTTTTGGGATTCAAAATTGATGCTGCTGGGATTCATCCTGCTGAATCCAAACTAACTGCTATTTTAGAAGCACCCAGGCCAAAGTCCAAGGCCGAACTTCAGGCCTTCTTAGGCCTCCTGAATTTCTACAATTCTTTTCTTCCACATAAGGCTAGTGTAGCTGAGCCTCTTCACAGGCTACTGGACAAACATGCTGTGTGGCTGTGGTCACAAGCACATGAGGCTTGCTTTAAAGAAGTCAAGGCCTTGCTCACTTCTAACAGTGTTCTTGCACATTTCAACGAGTCCCTTCCTGTGTGCATCGCTTGTGATGCGTCCCCCTACGGGGTTGGAGCTGTCCTGAGTCACCTCAGGTCTGATGGAACTCAGGTTCCTATTGCATACTACTCCAGAACACTGTCTTCTGCCGAGCGCAACTACGCTCAGATAGACAGGGAGGCTCTGGCTGTTGTTGCTGGAATTAAAAAATTCCACGATTTTCTATATGGCAGGCATTTCACGGTCTTCACTGACCATAAGCCTCTGCTGGGACTGTTTACCACACGTAAGCAGACTCCCCACATCATTTCCCCTAGAATGCTTAGGTGGTCTATTTTTTTGTCTGCATATGATTTTTCATTACTCCACAAGCCTGGGAAAGAAATGGGCCATGCTGATGGCCTCAGTAGGTTGCCTCTGCCAGTAGTAGAAGCTGACCCCGCGCCAGCTGTCAACATTCTATCAATCCAAGCCTTGCCCGAGCTCCCTCTTAGTGCCAGGGATGTTACCGCTGAAACAGGTACAGATCACACACTTTCACGTGTCCGCTCCTGGGTCCTGTCCGGGTGGCCTGAGCACTGCCCTAGTCCTGAGTTTCAGAGTTTCTGGTCCAAAAGGAAATGAACTGTCCCTTTCTCAGGGTTGTCTGCTTTGGGGAAACAGAGTTGTCATTCCCACCTCAATGAGGACTAGGGTCTTAGAATCCCTCCACGAGGGTCATCCTGGCATTGTTCGTATGAAGGCTCTTGCACGCAGCCACTTGTGGTGGCCTGCTTTAGATAAAGATATTGAGGCTAAGGTACACGCATGCCACCTGTGCCAACGATCTCGCCCAGAGATGCCCCAAGCTCCTGTGCATAGATGGGAGGAAACACAGTCCCCATGGTCTAGGGTGCACATTGACTACGCTGGGCCCTTTCAGGGCCAGTTCTTCTTGGTCCTTGTTGACAGCCATTCAAAATGGCTTGAGGTTGTGCCTGTCTCATCCACCACCACTGCAAAGACTATTCAGGTACTGAGGGGGATTTTTGCTGCACACGGGCTGCCAGATGTCATTGTGTCCGACAACGGCCCTCAATTCACCTCCTCCGAATTCCAAGCTTTCTTACAGGCAAACCTGATTCGTCATGCCACATCTGCGCCTTTTCACCCGTCCACCAACGGTATGGCTGAACGCATGGTGCGCATCGCAAAGGACGCCTTGAAGAGACTCACCTACGGGGACTGGCATCACAGGTTGGCTGACTTTCTCCTTTCTTATCGCACCACACCGTCCACTTCTACAGGGAGAAGTCCAGCTGAACTTCGTTGGGGGCGCCAACTTACTACTAGACTTGACCGGTTGCATCCGGACAGACTGCCTTCATCTACCTCACATCCTAGGGCACCTAGACAACTACTTGTGGGTGCCCCGGTTTGGGCTCGCAATTACGGGCCTGGTCATACATGGGTCCCCGCTTCTGTGTCCAGGATCACAGGTCCTCTCTCCTACGAGGTTGCCCTGGACAACGGTCGTGTCCTGCGTCAGCACATCGACCAACTTCGCTCTAGGCGAGACTTTTCTGCTGAGACTCCTGGGTCTTTTCCAGGGGGGGAGGGGGACCCTTTGGAGCAAAGGGAAGGGCAAGAGCTACTGCCCACCTCCACTGAGGGAGCCACAAACGGCCCATCTCAGGGTTCTGCAATTGCTCCGAAAAGAAAGTCATGGAGCTTACCCACACAACAGGCACTCACGCCTACTCCAGCCAGGGAGTCACCCCGGGGGCATACTCACTTTCCACACACATCACACAGCACTCCAGTCACGGAGGATACCCGGGGGCATCCCAACAAATCATTCCCCGCAAGAGAGCTGGCACACAATTCCCAAGGTTGGCCTGACCTTACCCCAAATCCTACAGGGGGTCAAACATACACAGAGCTAGTCGAGGAACCAAGTCCCGACTACAACACCCCTAGCACAAATCAGGGAACACCTGAGTTTTGGGAAAGTACAGAAACCCACACGAGCCCGAGCACAGAATGGGGTTCAGGGAATGGACAGCCTCCTGACAGGTCTTGGACTGACCTAGGAGGTTCTACAGAGACGCCCAGCAGTGGCTATCACTTCAAGGGGCCTGAGGGTCTACAGCTAGGTAGGACAACCAGGTCACAAAGCAACAGAAGCCCTGGCCTGACGAGCCCGGTGGGCAAGCAAGCAGGCCAGGCATCGGGGCACAGTCCTTGGAAGACACCAGGGCACAATAGAGAGAACAGGCTCACGCCTCCCTCCAGTCAGGGGACTTATGCCAGTAACCCAGAGCTAAGAAGGTCACAGAGAGCAAAGAAATCTCCTAAGTATCTAGAAGATTACATAACATTGCTGGCAAGGCAAAAGCCAGTAATCAGTGGGAGCACTGGGGAGCAAAATGTCATATAAAATAAATGTTGTATGTTGG